GGAGACTTAGCAACCCACTGAAGACGCTGAGAACTATTTCAGAAAAGAAAAATATAGCAATAGAACTCTATAATTTCTACAGATCAATTGTAAATAGATTCATACACAAAAGAGGTAGTGAGGAAAGTTTTAGAACAGATGTGTAAATAAATACCTTTTCAAACAAAGGCTCACGTGCACATGGGGAAAGGGAGAAGAATTGCTGTATTGTTTTGTTGTTGTATGGCGAATCCATACAGGGCAATGGGCCCTAATAAAAGCCTTTTTTGTTGTTGTTGTTGTTGTTATATATGTACATGAGTGAAGAGGAAAAGCAATTTAGAGGGGAGGGGGAGCAATCAGCCGTTGTCTGTGGAGTTGAGCACTTTTCCTTCATTTTATCAATCACCTTGAAAATTTAAAATATTTATAAACAAATATTTTATCCATCAGGGAGAGTAGTAAAAATTTTATATACATGTTGTTCATTATAGTGAGTTAGCCCCGAAATTTCGCGAATTTCCAGTCTCTTTTCCTGTAGAAATGGGCAATGGAATAGATAATGGGCCAAATTGTCTTGGATGGCAGCATTGCAGAAGTAGCAAAATTCCAAGTATCCCGTGATATCCTCGCGGAAAAATGGCCATAGAATCCTTTGACGGGCTATAAATCGTTTAATTTTCAAAGGGAGGTTTGATAGTAAGTAGTTCCACTCAACAAAATTATACTTAGAAATAGTAATACTATGGTTCCAGATACCTCATACATCAACAAATTTATACTTAACACAATAACAATAATATTAAATTTATACATTTTTATTTTTAAAAGATGCATATATTGGATTTATAATGATTTATTATTCCAATATTTCGAGGGGCAACTCGCCTCTCTTTATCGAGGATGTTTGTGTTTTTCACTAAAACATGCGCGCACGCGTATACCTCTCTCGTTCTACAAGGCCAATGAAAGAATTATATCTTTGACTTAAACATTAAATTCAGTATATATACAGCTAACAATTATATATAATATTATAGATAAATACCATTATTATTATTTTGTCCACACATTGTGCTTGAAATAGAGAGATTTATATACAACAGTGTAACCGTAAATAAAATATACATTTTTATTTATATAAAGTTTTTAACCCTCCTTGACCCTTGGAATATTTGACCCAAATTCTGGTCCAAGGTAACTAACGTGGCAACGGCACCCATTTTCCAATGAAATATTGGACATGACAACAACAATTTTATATATTATTAAAATCCTTCTGGCCCTCTCGCTTTATATTTTTAGTCATATTAAATTTAATTGTTTAATGGTATGGGGATTGCTGAAAAAAAAAGTTTTTAGTTCAAGTTCTTTTTGTAATATAAGCATTATAAACTATTTTAGATGCGTAAGATTCTTTTTGAAATTAAACAATTTCTACTGCCCTTACTGCAATGGAAAAATTAATGGGAGGGCCTGGCTCATCAGTGGTGAACCCTCCCAGCGGTTTCGCCAGTTTAATTTTCCAATGAAATATTGGACACGACAGCAACAATTCTATATATGATTAGAATCCTCCTTGCCCTCTCGCTCTATATTTTTAGTCATATTAAATTTAATTGTTTAATGGTATGGGGATTGCTGGGAGGGTTCACCACTGATGAGCCAGGCCCCTCCTATTAATTTTTTCATTGCAGTAAGGGCAGTAGAAATTGTTTAATTTCAAAAAGAATCTTACGCGTCTAAAATAGTTTCGAATTTTCATAACAGATGGCGCCCTAGTGCATCATAATATAAGCATTGCTTTTTAAATACTTTATTTGGAGCGCAGAGCGCCAACTACCAAAAAAAAAAAAAAAAGTTAATTGCTTACAACACCCAGTGTTCCCAGGTGGTCACCCTCCCAAGTACTGACCGGGCCCGAAACTGCTTAACTTTGGTGATTAGACGAGAATCGCACAAGGTGTACTCTTGCAGGAGAGTTGCTAAATAATAAAAATGGTAATTTTTCAAATGAAAACTGTCCTTTGTAGAGAGGTGTCCGCTAAAGGGAGGTTCTACTATAGATATATATAAACTACAGATTGATTTAAAGAAATTATGATTTACTTTTTTTTTCCAATTTTAATACACATTTGTATGGCTCTCCCCATAAACATGGGTCATAAAAATATCTCTCTTATTAATCTCTTTGGAAAATATTCCAAAAAAACTCTTTCTTGGTCCCCACCTTTTTAGTCGTCTTGTAAATAAAATAAAGAAGACTTAGATCTGAAGGACAATCTGGGTAGTTAGCGAAAATATGCAAATTAAAATTACAGGTAGAAATTCACATTTCTGAAATTAATCTTCTCAAAATTTAAAATTATTATTTTTCTAATATTCATAGAACAATTTTTTTTCAAATTATTTTTTAATTATCATTTCTTAAAAAATAAATATTATTCATTTAATAAAAATATTCTTTTTCTTTCTCTATCTCTCTCTATCTCTCAATCTAAAATTTAAAAAATATATATATATTTTTAAATATTTTAAAGATCAAAATATAATGTTACCTTATGGAAGTATAATCGATATTACAAATTTAATGAGAGATGTCCATAATGAAGAAAAGAAATTTAAATGTGATCAATGTGACTATAGTTCAAATGAACAGAATCTTTTAAAGATACATGTAAAAATCCATTCAGAAGAAAAACCTTATAAATGTAAATATTGTGAGCATAAAGCCTCAAGAAGATGGCTAATAACCCAACATGAAAGAATTCACACTGGAGAAAAACCTCACAAATGTACAAAATGCAATTATCGTTCGATTGTAAAATCAGATGCAAATAGACATATGCAAATACATGAAAATAACAAATCGTTCAAATGCGAAAAATGCAATTTCAGTTCTAAATGGAAGAGGTCATATCTTACACACTTATGGAAACACAATAAAGACAAATATACCGTTAAATGTGAAATATGTGATTATATAACATATGAGAAATGTAAACTTAAAATCCATATGAGAAAACACACAGGCGAGAAAAAATGCAGGTGTGATATATGCGGATATAGCTGCCGATATAGCTCTAGCCTCTGTAAACATAAGAATTCGAAACACAGGAATAATAAAACGGTCATAAGATCAGCCTAAACAAACTTTTAAACATTTTCTATCAAATAATACTAAGGCATCTTCTGATTGTACAACTAAAAGTATCTGTTGGTTTGCATGAAAATTAAATGCCTTTTTTCTTAATACTTGATTCAAGTACAATTTAACCTTTTTATTATTTTTCATAAAATAATATGTAAATAAAATAATAAAGAAGATCAGAGATGTTGATATTAAAAAAATAATATGTATATACATTAATATATTGAAATTAGAGCAATCCATAAATAAATCTTTATTTAAAAAGCTATATATTGGATCAAAATATCGTTTATTTTACCAATATTTCAGTTGGCTGAACGCCAACTTTTATCAAGGTATTATAACATATTGATGTGTGTCAACAACACATATTAAAATGTTATAATACCTTGATAAAGATTGATGTTTAGCCAACTGAAATATTGATGAAATAAATGATATTTTGATCCAATTATGGCTTTTTAATTAAAGATTTATATATATCTTATTATAAAATCAAATTTATTTCTCTTTATCGATATACTAGTGCAAAATATAAGAATGTTCTATATAGCCCTTTTGACCCTGTAGATAATTTTAGGCTTTTTAGAAATCTTTCACTTTTTGTTTTTCTCTCTCAATTCTGTTTTTTTTTTTTTTTTGTGTTAATAAAACTGACCATTTTCTAAATAAATATCTTATTTTTAAGTGTATTTATATATATATTCTTTCCATTTGACATTTAGAACCTTGTGAAATGTTTTAGGGATATTTTTATAAGATTTTTATCTATCATTTTCTCTCAAAATACGAGAAAAGGTTTGAGAAATATTGCAGAATGTCAAAGACATTATATCTTTTTTTAAATTCAAATTCATGGAGAGTATAAATGTTGTCAACTATCCCAAAAAAATGCATAGTATGCCTATTTACATATATCTATGAGTATAAATATTAAATTACTAAATTAAGTATTTCTCCCTAAATATTTATATATTCAAAGTTTTTTTTTTTTTTTTTTGCTTATCCCTAGTACACGTGGTACAGGCCATGATAATCATGGTGGGTAGAAGACTACTGATTTTACTGTAAGTACACCAAATGTCTACACACATGAAAAGCAGTTCGACTTTGCACTTACAAATGTGCCAGAGCCTCATTTAGTTACTTGCATTCGCTGGTGGGGGTTGGACCTTTGCAAGAATCGGGGGCCATTGGAGCATTTTTTTTTTTTAATCAGAAAAAAAGTGCCCAATGCGGGAATCGAACCCGAGTCGTAGCGGTCGAAAACCAACGGTTTAGACTATCCTTCTACCGACCCCCTATATTCTAAGTAATACCCTTTTGTGAATCTCTCTTTCATTTTTGGAAATGGTTTCAATTTATTTTATTATTATTTTTTTTTTAGAAATTATTTCTCGTATATAACAATTTATTTTCCAAAAATAAAATGTTATAATCTAAGCAATTTTATATCTTACTTTTATCAATGTCATTATTTATTAAGACAATTTACGTATAATCTTTTAGAACCGTACCAAGGTATTTGGTGTTCTGCCATCCAGGAACCTGGTTTATAAATATTTTCTCTAAAACCATATGGAAAATATTAGAGCAGGGGAAATGTTTTTACAAAAATTCAATTATAAACGACTTTCAAAAACTTATTTTTACATAGAGTTTTATATATATATATACCTTTAAAGGAATATAGGTTCATACAGTAAAACCTCCCTATAAAGGACACCTAATTGCAGAGCCAAAGTTTTCTTTAGGGAGAGGTGTCCTCTTACCGGAGAGTTGCTAAATATTAAAAATGGTAATTTTGCAAATGAAAACTGTCCTTTATAGAGAGGTGTCCTCTCATAGAGGTTCTACTGTATAATCAATGAAAGTTTTGTAAATATGTAACACAGTATAAATATATATATACCGTTGTGTCTTTGCATATGTGTTCTTTATTGTAGTACAATTTGCATAGTTTTAACCTATTGGTGATATAAATAGGACTTATGGAATAAGCTGAGGAGTCAAGTCCAGTGTTAGGAGTTGAGTAGTCTTGTTATTTTATATGTCTTTTGTAGTCAAAATTCGAAACTATTATAGACACGTATGATTCTTTTTAAAATTAAACGATTTCTACTGTCCTTACTGCAATGGAAAAAAATTATAGGAGGGCCTGGCTCATCAGTTGTGAACCCTCCCAGCGGTTTCACCAGTATAAATTATTTAATTTTAAAAAGAATCATACGTGTCTATAATAGTTTCGATTTTTTATAACAGATGGCGTGCTAATGCGTCGTCTATTGTAGTGTTAACTTGACAATAAAGGATAATTGTTCAAACATGAGAGTTGCTTCGTGGCTCAGCGTGACACGACATATACAAAAAAAAAATTTTTAATATAATACCATAGAACAGTGATTCTCAACCAGTGTTCCGCGGTAATTTTGTGTGCCGCGAAATTCTAAAAATGTGCCGCCGAATTTTAGTCATATGATTATGTTCACGTTTGTATTGGTTTTTCTTTTTTTCTTTTTCATTTTTTTACTTTTTAAAATAACGAAATTAGCAAATTGAATGTTAGAGATGTATATTACTTATATTTTGCATAGAAATATTGATACATAATTTGAATTTTCTTGCATTCAAGTTAGCAAAAGTGTGCCGCGAAATTCTAAAATTGTGCCGCCAAATTTTCAAATCTTTAAAATAATGCCGCAACAAAAAAAAGGTTGAGAATCACTGCCATAGAAGGTAAAAATGTTACATTGATGTAAAAAATAGATCCAGGTACGCCCTTTTATATAAATTGATGTAAATTATTAAGAAAGATTGATATGAGATGATTTTGCCAATACACACACAAAGCCTTTATTAAGACGTTAGTCTTATACAGATTCTCCGTACAAGGTGCAATAACAGGAAAAGAGCAGCACAGGAAACCAGTAGTTCCGCAACTATATACAATTATAATTGTTACTAATAATTGTTAGTAATAAGGAAAAGTAAGATTTAATATGAAAGGTCGACGCCATCGCCCCAAGTCTTCAATTCCATAAGCGCGGAGCAGAAATAGGGACTAAGTTATTTAGTTCGCCATAAATATAGCATCCAGACACAAAAAGGAGGTTTACTCCAGCACAGCCATCCATATCACCAGCTCCGCAATCTCATCGTCGACCAACACGATGGCCCCTCGATGTTTCGTGATTTTGCCAATATAAAAACAAGTATAATTAACTGACAATCTTCATGCCTCTGGTATTTGCTGCAATCTTGCACAGTTCTTCGTTTTCTACTTTCAATTTGTCGACAAAATCTTTTATAGGAAAATCTTTTTGCTCTCGCTTCTCTCTCTATATTCCGGCATTAATATCTTTGTGCACTTCTTCACTGTTACATTTTGTTTTTTTCTCTCGTTTTCTAGTTTTACTCATCAATTTTGTTTCAGAATAACCGAGCAATTTTTTTTCAAAGCAATTAAAACTTGTAAAGTATAAAGGAATGATGACTCTTATTCAAAGAAGAGGTCTACAATCATAACCCAGTTCTAAGTTTTATAAAAAAATTATTTCTCATAATATTATATAATAAATCAACAACAACAAAAACCTTTATTAAGACACTATTGTCTTACAAGGGGATTCCCCTAAAAGGTTATATATGTACATGAGTGAGGAGGAAAAGCAATTTAGAGGGGAGGGGGAGCAATCAGCCGTTGTCTGTGGAGTTGAGCACTTCTCTCATTTTATCAATCGCCTTGAAATATTTATAAACAAATGTTTTATCCAGCAGGAGAGTAGTGAAGATTTTATATACATGTTGTACATTGTAGTGGGTTGACC